ATTATCGTATGATACAAATATTATTTGCATACTATTGGTTGTTTATCATCATGTGACCTTTGATATTTTTTATTTTACAAAAATACGTATATATTTAAAATATGAATGAAATAAAAGTATTATTTCTATGCAATCTGTAGTTTAGGTGTTGTTTACTTAACGTTTATCGCGTAAGCGTTTATTGGCAAGAGTCACGAACTCTCGACCTCACGTACTTTATAAGATAACATTTATGGCATCAAACTGGATTGATGGTAAGAGTTTATCATTTGGTAAGCGCTTACCGAGTAATACTCACCACTCCCACTTACCCGGTAAGACTCTCAATCTTTCCTTCCCTCTTACCGGTAAGACTCGGTAACAGGGGCGGCCTTATCCTCTGGGGTACGGACGTACAATTGCCAGTGAAACCATAAAAATATAGGGTCTAGGTGTAAATTTTTTTAAGGTATACAATTTTGAAGCCAAAAGTTTTTTTTGGGGTGAAATCGTAAGATTCTTTTTTGAGTTGAAACCATAAATATTAAATTCTTTAGGAACTAGGAAGTTTAAATCTAAATCTATATCTATGTATATACTAGAAGGGTACTCGCACAATGCAGTGAGATTCATCTTGATTTTAATATTTCATTTTATTATTTATCTCAGTCGATGTTATAGTATGGTCTTATGTGATCTTGAAAAAACGATGATGTTTTTATTTTTGAATAAAATACAAATTTGAAGATATCATAAAATTTTGACAAAAATATGTCGATATTAATATCAAATTAACTATTTAAAATTCATATTTTTGTGTAATTTTTTAATTCAATTTTTTTATTAAAATTTAATTTGGGTTCAGTAACGAAGTAATTTATATTTGGTTTAATAACATAATTTTCTTATAAAGATAATAATTAATTATTTTGTTAGAACTCGATAATTATTCTAATTATATTCTAGATTTTTTATATTTTAAAATGAGATATTTATCCGCAGTTAGTTACATGAATTCAAACATGGAACTTTAATAAATTGTACTTATGCATAATTTACTTGTAATATTGAAAAATGAGATGTTTATCCTCTATTTGAGTATTTGTTTTTTATATAACTAAATCATGTTGTTCATATTGAATATGTATCATGAAAAATGCTTTATGTAAAGTGAAAGGAGCAATTTAACTGATGATTATGTTGTTTTACCAGATATTTAGTTAAATGTGCTCAATTTGTTGCAATTAACATATGTGATATGTTGAGTGGTGATACATATTGATAAAATCATAGAACGTGGGATGTTCATTGAAAGATGTCTAAAGTAAAGGACTGGGGGGAGCCTGGTTAGGCAGCTACTAGGCATGGGGACCGAGGGGCCAAGTACATACACAAATCTGGGAGGTTATATTGATGTATGTACACTGACTCGAGAGGTTAAATGACATGCCCAAGTTAGCCAACAGTGTAGATGAGCTGCTTTGTGCTCTCTCATCAACCGGCTATGGTGGGACTCCCCTACCTAGATCAATGATGGTGATAACACGGAAGTTGTTATTATGAGGGACCACCAGTGAGAATTATGACATGAGAAACCGATTTATTTATTGTTGGTTTGGTAAAAGTGATATATTAAACTGTATAATTATTATCATTCACTATATGGGAAATATGAATCAGTTTGATATTTTTTTTTTGATTTATCTAAATGTTTTTATGATGTAAAACTCTTGAACTTACCAGACGTAAAACCTGACTCGTTTTGTTTGTCGACGTGTATTCCAGGACACGATCGGGGGGTGCGAGGATAAGTGTTTTCACTGTGGAGAATCATAACACATTTGGTCAGGATTGCCCAAAAATGAAGAATGTCAAGAAGGGGAAAATGGCAGGTACTTTGCAAAAGAAAGAGACTCAGGTGTCGGGTTAGAGCATTTCATATGACGACAGAATAATATCGAGATGTAGTCGATGTAGTGACGAGTATGTTCTTAATCAACTCCAAACCTGCCCGCGTGTTATTTGATTCAAGAGCCAATCAGTCATTTGTTTCCATAATATCTTGTAAGCGGTTTGATGTGACGGTTAGCATATTATCAGCAGCATTAGTGGTAGAGACAACTAATAGAGGGAAAGTGTTGGTACGTGAAGCTTATGATAGTTGAACAATTGAAATCGAAGGTATTTTATTTCCAATTTTCTTGTTACCTGTGAAGATAGGAGGGTCTGATGTACATGTGCAAAATGAAAAATTAAGATATTGAAAGTAAGTTCTAAAAATAATCATTATGTATTTATGTTATTTAATAATATGATTAAATCAAAAAATATTCCATATTGGGATCATTTTGAAGGTATTGATGAGACGATTATAATCGTATAATTTGTAAAGAAAAAAAGTATTTTTAATGTATCATAATCCTCTTGGTTAGTTTAGTAATTCTTGAAAAAATGAATATTTTGTTAAAATATCAGGTATATTTTAGCTATTTTGGTGAAAGTATCACATGTTTTGACACTACTCTCTTTGGATCTGAATAATGCCATTAAGAGGGTGTGTTTGTTTATACTGAATGATGCCAATAAGAGGAAAATATCTGATTCTATCAGACATTATGTTATTTGTCTGATTCTAATTCCTACGGGACTGAAGATCCAAGTAGAGACAATATTGTTTTTACGAATCTATCTTGCACTCTTTTAGTGGACTTTCGTAGTTCCCCATCCTTTTCCTTTGAGGTTCTCCTTCGAATTGTTGTTGCTTCTGTGGGTTTTTACTGTCTTTCGATCCATGATGTTTGCTACTGTTTCCAACTCACTGAGCCATTTGCGAACTGTTGGTCATTTTGATTACAAATGGAGGATGGTTTGGATGTGTCTTCAAGTTGCAGTGGTTGGTATTTGTGGGAATTTTTTGTTTTGATGAACTCCTTAAATCTGATTTGTTAAATCTGTGTTGGAGTCTCTATTGGTTGCTTTTGTTGGAGGTTAATCTGATGACTTTCCTTGAAGACGTTATGCCCAATGCCTATATCTCAATCCCAAAGCTGTTGGTTTTGTTCAAATTGGTGATTCTGGAAGGAATTTTTGATGTCTTGATGCTTATATCTCGAAATGGTGAATTTATCAGAACTTCAACTAGCATCGGTTTATTGTGATTTTGGAAGGAAATTTTTTTTTATGTAAACATAAGGTCAAATCGAGGGAGGCGGGAAAGAAGAGAAGGATGCAACAACGCATTGTGTTTGAACTTCTACTTCATGTAAGGTTTTGTTAGGTGAAAACTTAAAACAACTGTTGTTATCTTTGTTTGGGTTGATATGATATCATATGTTGTTTTGGACCAATAATTATTTTCTATTTTCATTCGGAAATTTCATTCAGAGTTTTTGTCAAACATTAATTTTCATTTGACACAAGAGTGAGGGTAAAATGGTAATTTTACATCATTCGGACTGTTAATTCCGAACAGTTTCAAAACAATCATTTTCTATCAAACACTATAGACTCTTAATCATTCTGCAATAAATAATAACGAAGCTGTTGAGGGCTGTTTGGTAAAAGATTCCAAAAAAAAAAAAAACATCAGGGGTGTTTGGGATTGCTTATTTAAAACAACTTATGTTTTTTTTGTAAAAGTGTTTATCAAGTTATGTGGTAAACCGGAGTTTTGTAAAAAAATGTTTGGATTAGCTTATAACGGTACCAAAAAGCAATAAGGTGATAAGTTGTTTTTTTAGTGTTTGACAAATTTTGCTTATATATGTAAAATGACCAAAAGTGACGGTCTTCCATATTATTGACTCATGAGTGTGTTTGAGATTGTTTATTAACTTATTTGATTTTTTAACATGTAAAAATTTATTTTTTATCATTTATAATAATATTTTGACAAAAATTTATATCAATAAGATTAATAATTTATATCAATAAGATTAATAATTAACAAACATTAATAAAACAGAGTTAAAATTATAAACTGGTAATAAGTAATTTTTCATAAATTTGAAAGAATTAACTTATCAAAAACTGCTTATTACCGATATAAACAATTTTATTTTTCATCATCCAAATACGGCTCATACCAGACTGAAATAAATAAAAAAAAAACCTTAAATAAGCAATCCAAACATCCCCGAATGGTTCTTCTAACACATGCTACCCTGCCCATATGATTCAGAAGCGTCCTTTTTGGAGGTTGCTCTGATCTCTTTACACCTCGCTACTGTCGCTCTGATCTCTTCTGTTAATCGCAGGTATGTGAAACCCTTATCTATTTCTAGGTTTAAGACAATGATTTATGTGCTTTTGAAACAATGATTTCTATGTTGATGGATCTTTATTCTGTTAATTGTGTTTGGGCGTGATTTCTTTTGGGTTTTCTGAAATCTGCAGATTTCCGTTCAACATCTCTCATCTTCGATTTTTATCACCCCCGTCTTCCTATCTTGGTTTGTGAATACCCCCATTGGGTTCCTGTATTTTTTAGTCATAAGCATTTGAACACCAAGTGCTTGATAAAAGTTTCCAATGAGAAAATATTCAAGTTATAAACTAATTTTCTATACGTAGTTTACCACAGATGGCTGTCTTGTGGATCATTGATAGTTCAAATTATATGTGGAGTAATACATTATTCAGTTTTATTGAGTTTGGTATTGTTCATTGAGATTTTTCAATATAGCATTATGCCTCCATATAATTTTCTGGACAGCAGATGTTGGCTGCTGTTTGCACACCATCTACTCAATCTTTTGGTGTATAATTAGATGATGAATGTATAGCTTGCAATGTGGTTTGAGTTGTTAACTTGATGCTTGTTTTTAAATTTTAAAAATGCATGCTTTTATGGTTCAAAAGAAGAGCAACTTAGCATGTTAACATTGCAAGTCTTGTGGGAAGAATTCCTTGAATGAACCTGCAAGTGCTAGAGGTATAGCTTGCAATGTGGTTTGAGTTGCTGACTTTGGATGTTTCGTTTTAGATCAGTCCATTTTATGATCGTTCTAACTGAATACGGCTTTGGTGATAGATGCAGATGTTTATAGTTGGGTAGAAGTTTGCATGTTGTTATGTTGTGTTCGAAATGCTAGATTGAAGTACTTGTTGTTGCTATAAGTAGAAGTACTAGAGTTATAATGGTTTATAATTCTATTCTCGCACATCAAAACAGAGGTTGAATATATTCTTTTCTAGGCTTTTTTTTGCTGTAGTTCTTGTTTCCTGCCTGGTCTTCAAAAATCTCACCATGTCACCTTATTGGCAAAATACTTGGCCTTAGACCCCCCATTGATGCTAGTACAAGTACTTTGTAGTTTGTAGATGTTTAATTCAGGATCATAGAATTTTCTTAAATGCTGAGGATTTCTGAAATTTCTGATATATCTTGGCAAATAGATGTACGTCTGCTTAAAGGGCTTGGTGATATGTTCCATTAGGTGGATTCAGGATTTGGTTTATGCTCAATGATCTGGTAGTGTAACCATGTTCAATCTGTTGGGTTGATTTGGTTTATGTACATGGTTGATGTTTTGATTTTTAAGCTTGCCAACAGCCACACACTCAATTCTCATATTTTTTCTTTTTTTTGATTAACCTGGATATCCAACCTGCAATGCGAGCCGACTAATCCCAGGACGACCACCCGCTTGGATGGCAGTCCAGCATCCAATAAGACTGAACCGATCCAATCCAATGACCATCCAATTTCCCATCCAATTATCATCCAATTAATATCTAATTAATAACTATATATAATTATTAACATTTTTCAATATCTTTTTAGTTGATATTTATGTACATTGTTTTTTAATAACTTAAGAAAATATATGAATAATTGGTTGAAATAGTGGATTAATTGGTTGAATATTGGATCAAATGATTGAAAGAATCCAATCCAAACGAATGGATAACCAATAGTTACATGATGTAACTTACATCCAATGGATGGAACCGATCTGATCCAATCATCCATTGGATTTGGATCAGATCGGATGTCGAATCTTAATCGGATTGGATTGGATGCCAAAATTCAACATCCAATGGATGATTGGATCGGATCGGATCCACCTAAATCCATTGGATTTCAACCGATGAACACCCCTAATAATGTTCTTTAATTTTTATGTAGCCATGTTTAATGATTTAATAGGTTCATTTGGTTTATGTTATGTTTGTTTGAACTCAAGATTTTAAGAAGTGGAATTGGGACTCGAGGCGTTTTCCTTCCACCCCTGAGGCGTAAAACAAATAAAATTCATAAATATTAATAGTAAGCAAAACACAATTCCATACCAAACTGTAAACGTCATAGATTCATAAAATACAAGTTATACGTCTAAAAACATATCCATCTACAACTTATAGTTCCCTGTAGCATGATCAAGTTGTATAGCTCCACAATCGTATCCATAATCACTATCACTTTCATCTTCCAAATCCACAGAAAACATAAAAATAATACAGAAAACAGAAAATAAAAATAATATAGAAAACAGAAAATAAAAATAATATAGTAAAACAGAAAATATACAAAAAAACTTACATAACACATAATACATATAGAAAATACATTATACATGATATAGACTGAAATATATATAATATAATATAATAATATAATATAATACATTATACATAAACTAAAAATATGGATACAAACTAAAAAGAACTTACTTTTTGGGTTGGCCTTGGAGATGAATATCTTCTTGAGAGAGGAAAAAATGTTGTTTGGAGAGGCGTGCGCCTCATAAACGGCTCATGCCTCAACGCCTCAAGGCACCGCCTCACTAATTGAGGCTTAAGCCTCATCCAGGTACCATGAGGCGCCGCCTCATGAGCAGTTTTGGACCGCCTCGCCTCGAGGCGTATGCCTCAAACGATTTTGAAAAAACCATGTTTGAATTAATATGATATGTTGTTTCGAACGAGTAATATTGTCTTTGTAGTTTATATTTGCATTGTGATATAAAGTAATTTAATATTTTTCTGTAATTGTTTAAATCAGAACACTTACAAACAGTTATATTCCATTCAACACTAAATAATACCAGGGTTAAAATGGTAATTTTATGTCGTTCATTGGTCCATTCAGAACACTTACCAAACAGTCATTTTTCATTTGGCACTAAATTATACATAGCATCTTAATCATTCTGACCACCTACTCATTTTGCACCAAATCATTCAACAAAGCAATCCCTTAATTGTGTCCGCATCTACAGGTTCTTGCCGCTTGCGTCTTTGAAGTTCTGTACTACTTGGAGTTTTGCACAAGGATGGCTGCAATTTACAGTCTTTATATCATTAACAAATCAGGGGGTCTCATCTTCTACAAGGTAAAAACCTGAATCCCAGATGCATTTTTAAAAAAAAATATCATTTTCCACTTCAGAGTTTGTTTTAATGAACAAATAATGGGAATAGGATTATGGGTTAGCAGGAAGAATGGATACGAATGATAGTTTGAGATTGGCAAGTTTGTGGCACTCGATGCACGCCATCTCTCAGCAATTGTCCCCTATTTCTGGCTGCTCTGGTATCGAACTCCTTGAAGCTGACACATTTGATCTCCATTGCTTTCAATCTCTTACTGGTATGTTGTTAATTCATATTTATTTGGTGAATTTAAGCTATTTGATGATGGAAGAGGATATGAAACCATGTTATGTTGTTATTTACTCCCTTCCTGTAGAATATTATTGAGCTAAAAGTTTGGCTACAAGCATAGAAAAAAGTTACCTTTCATCCTACAAATTTATATGAACTTCGAACCTTTTGATGAATACTTTCTATATAGGTTAAATACTATACAAATACCGTATGATGTTAACTTTCCCTCAAGAGTATTAGTTCTAATATTAGGAAACTTGTGCTTTTTGTTCTTTCAAAATGGAGAGAATTCAGTGTTTCATTGGGTTTTGGTATGTAGCTGAAACGTTTGTATTGATTCCTGTGTCACACTAGGGTGTTGATCACACCAATAATCACCCCTTTACATGGATAATCATGGTACAAATAAATTACATTCCACATGTGAAATAGTCACACCATTTTTAAGTACTTACTCAGTTGCTCAATTTTAATGGGTAAAATGGTTTGTTCAAAAAAATATATCCCCTTCCTCATCTCAAATTAGCACATATATATATATATATATAGAGAGAGAGAGAGACAGAGGGAGGTTCAAACAAGAACAGTAACCAAATAAAAGAACACGAAAATGGCCAAATCACGTGCAAAATCACAGGTTGGTTTACACTAACAATCAATGCTACGGTGTGCGGGCGACATGGCCTGTGATGTCAGGTCGCAGCCAAAGTTGCATGAATTACGTGTGATTTTACATGTGATTTTAGTGTAAAATCACATGTGATAACCGTTTCTTATTCTCTTATTTGGTTATTGTTTTCGTATGAACCTGATGCGCTCTCTCTCTCTCTCTATGTGTGTGTGTGTGTATATATATATATATATATATATATATATATAAATTAGCCCTAGTGTTGCATCCATTGTTCTTTCACCGCTCACTCTTCTTCCTGACTTCTTCACTATCCTTCTTTCCTCACTCTCTTTCCCATATTACACCATAGTAATGCTAAGCACAAAGTATGGGTTGTTGTGATAGGTTGTAATCATGACATAGAAAAATTACTTAAGAGTATCATAAATGCTAAGATCTTGCCAGATGCCATTTTTGGGGAAGAAATATGGAGAGAGATGAAATAATGATTTGATGGGGAAATACTCTATTTTGGATGCATAGATAAGATGCCATGGTTGTAGATGAACTCACCCACAGTTGGAAGAGGCATTTAGGAATGAATTTGTGCTTGCTTGTTTACGCTTCGTAGGAACATTTTGAGTAGGAAAATGTCAGAAATACACTTGTTTCCTCAACATAAATAAGGGCATGGATCTTGAGATGTTCATTTGTTTTGGGCCTTTGATCATTGGGATTCATTCGTCTTCGTTTCATTGACATTAATTGTTTTCTCCGATCCATTCATTCCGTATTCTTCTTCCCCCCCCCTCCGCTTTCAATATGGAATTAGTTGAGACAAAGAAAGTGAACAAAAATGAGGAAGAGGAGCAAAATTTGGAAGAAGGTGACAGTGAGAGACAAAAGATATGAAGAACATGTGTAGTGAGGAGAAGAGAGAACTTTGTGTATACTTAACTATAAATTTATCCCACCCTACAATCAGTCGGTGTGTGTGAGCTTCGCTCCTTATAGCTATAGCTCTACACCCCCGCCGGCCATTTTCTTTCCTCTACCATATCCATTGATGGGATTTTCTAAAACTAATTTGGAAGTCCAAGGTAGGAGGGAAAACTAATTTAGAATATTCTAACTACTTAAATGCTTGTTGTATTTAATTTCAGCTTCTATACCCTAGTAACTTATCTCAATATACTTGAGCTTTTGGTTTAATTTATGGCATCCTGACATTGACTGATGTTTAAATCGATCGTGCTATTGATCATTGTTTTGATATTTAACAAGGTTTTATATCATTATATATTTTCTTAGCCCTTAAACTAGGCTGTTACAAATCTCTCCCCCCCATCAAAAGATCCTGTCCTCGTAATCTATTCCCACAAAAAGAGATAGGAAAACTTCATTCTTATCTCCTTGAACCGATCCCATGTCATGGATGTAGTCTCCACTGTACCATTACCAAATTCCACCAAGTCAATGTATCCTCCTGTAGTAAGTTGAATACCTTATAACTTTTGAGTTTTGGAACATTGGTATGTCTTGAAGCTATTCTCTATTCCATTCAACCATCCCATAGCTTTATGAAGTTCAACTTCTCCTTTGTATGTTGCAGGTTTTGGTACTGGGAAAGTTTTATAGTTAACTTCAATTGAAAGTACATTGTTTGCTTCTACACCCATATCTTGTCCTTTATGGGTATTCATTAATTGAGCTTGGTTTCTCTTTATTTATTATTATTATGGCGGGTAAAACATTTTAAAGAAAGTGTTTCCATATCCTGTTTTCTGTTTATGTTCTTAGCCCTTCAATTGTCATTCATCGTATCGGGTTCTATCCGACTCGTTTTAGCTTGATTTGATCCTTTACCCTTGATAAATTTGACGAATTTGGAAGGTCATTCTATTGAAATTCATATATGAATATGCTTTTTAGAATCTTTTCAACATACTATGGTGTTTTAGAATTTATGTAATATTTTGACACACTTCTAATTTGTTCTCAACACTTCACGTTAGTTTTACTTTATTCAACACATAAGTTCACACACATACACACACACAATAGCATCCTTTGCATACTTCATTACATTAATTTACTTTTTGATTAACCTCAAGGTGTACATACCCCTTGTGTAATTATCTCAGAATCTACACGATTTCATATTTGGTTTCGACATTTGAAACCACTAAGCATTAGATAGGTGCATATGGATAGCTATTTGAGAATTATAAGTTATAACGAGTCCCTCTACTTATCTTTTCTTCTTTCCCAATTACATGCTTGTTTTTGTTGGGTTTTCTACTCCATCCTAGGGTTTTTGAGGCTTACGTATGCTTTACTAGTCATATATAGGCTTATAAAGATTGTACAATATGCTAGGAACCCAAAAAAAATCACAAAACCCGCTGCTGCCCCTGTGACATGTGCCCTTCAGCCCCGTCCCCTACTGACTTGCGTCTTCTGGCTCATCCCCTTCTGGTCCATCCCCTTCTGGCCATGACTTTGTGGCCCTGCGTACTTCTGGCCGGCAACCCTCTTGTTCGCTGCCTTCTGGCCACGCTTTCTGGCCCACGTCTTATCCTCTGTTTTTTCCCTTCCCATCTCCTTGCCTTAATTGCTATAGCACATAGGACTCTAAAACGACAGATTTCAAGACTCATTTGGTGCATATGCATCCCAATATACGTATTGCACTTGACTAACTTCCCATTGACGATACGTTTTTGCTATTGCAACCCCCTTCTAGATGCAGTCATTCACTTCCTCACTGAACATCTTAATTTGCAGCTTGATCCATCGGTTTTCAAATTCGTTCGTGTTTGAGTTTGAAATTTAATTCTTTTGTGTTTGAGTTTGAAAAGCTTGCAACATTCCCGACCAACTGTATCGGATCTTGTCCACTTTATGCACACGTGGACTCATGGTTTTAAAACGCGTTTGATAGAGTAGGTATCTGGTCCCTTATAAGGCAATCTTTGTTCCCCTTTCCGACCGATATGGGATGTCACAATTATATATCACATAATATCCTCTTGTTATTCCTCCTCTGTCTGAGATTATCCATTGACTAGTAGCTTGAGTAAGAAATTATCAAGCCATCATCATTAGCTTGAGATTATCCTCTTGTTATTCCTCCTCCGTCTGAGATTATGCATTTTCAGTTGTTAATTATTATGCTTGTACCTATCGCATCTCTCGATAGCCACCCTTTTTGCTTCTATTGTCTTGCAAGGTGCAGCCAAGCCCTAGAGTGCCTATTACTCTCCCAACCAAAAACACAATGATAAAACTATACTAAGTATCTTTCTAAAGGAACATATTGAACATAACGGTAAGTTTAAAAAACTTCAGAAACCCTGTATATTTGAGGCATTTGTTTTAGACTTTATAGTTATTATTGTCATTACGTTTGCTAAGGGGCCGTTTACCTAAACACTTACCCGGTAAGCACTTACGGGTAAAATTTCAACACAATTGTTTACTTACTAGGTAAGATTTTATTCACTAAAACGAATCGTATGCAACAATTTATCCCGGTAAGCGCTAACCATGGTAAGAGTCCTCGTCCTCACTTACCGGGTAAGACTCTCAATTCTTGTCTTCGCTCTTACCGGGTAAGATTTTTAGTTCTTGCATATGCATCCGGTAAAGTAAAGTGACTTGGTAAGCGCCTACTCGGGTAAGCGTTTGGTAAACGGCACCTAAGACTAATTAAATTCTTTGCTTTATGAGAATTTTATGTTTTTTTATTTATGCTCCACCTGCTGCCTTCACTAGTTTGTAATGCTATGCACTGTTTGTTAGCCGCTTAATGAGCTTAATGGGACTCGCAACTTATTCGGTCAGCTATACATGACTGGCTTAGTGCCATAGAAAGTGACTTATTCAACAAGTATTTAGGATGAAACTTTATGGAGAAAGCCAAGATTTCCCAAACCTGCCTCTCCAAATTAAAAAACATGCTCCTTCCATCTATGAAAAATCCCCTCCCAAACAAAAACCTTCCCCGTCTAAAGACAGATTAATCTACAAAGCAGCTTTATTCATATAGTACTTAATGCAAAACCAACCAAACAACCCCTGAACCTTCTTCAATGATAACCCGATACACCGAGATACGTAAACCTAATAATTTTTCTTCCAACAACCCCAGATGGCTCTTTAAGAAAATGCAGCTTCTTAACATGTGGGACCCTTTACGTATTTCCTGTTTTTACTGTATGCCAACCTTATTTTTACTGTTTAGTGTTCCTCCGGCTTTAGTAGTTTGTTTTATGGCACTATACTTGTTGCTTATTTGTAACTTTGCAGCTACTTAACCACCCTTTTTCCCAGTTATTAATTTTTGTTTTGCAAGCCAAGGGTCTTCACTCGTAATCCCTTGGGGTAGATGTAAGGTTTATGTGGGATATATTGGGTTCGTTTTGTTAATCATATCATATTTTGGCAGGGACGAAGTTTTTTGTGGTATCAGAACCTGGAACACAGCACATGGAGCATCTGTTGAAACATATTTATGAACTATACACAGATTATGTTTTGAAGAATCCATTTTATGAGATGGAAATGCCAATTCGGTGTGAGCTCTTTGATATCAACTTGTCGCAGGCAATACAGAAGGACCGTGTTGCGTATCTTGGCCGATGAATCAATGCAAACAAACCCATTAAAAACTTTTTAATTTCAGTTTGAACCGAAGAATGTCTGGTAAGTGGTGTTATTACTTTCCAAGTGAATTAGACAGACATGTTAGCAACCAACACAAGTAGCAGACCTTTTGGGATATAAATGATTGTAATTGTTGTTGCCTGTTCTAAGCAAAATCCTTTTCTTAAGCCAGGGTTTACAGGTACAAGTACATGATGCTAGCATGGGATTTAGTGGGTGTGTTTGTAAACTTGTATATGAGGTCTTCATAGACAGTCTCTTCACTCCTCTGGGTAGAGCTAAGGTAAGGTTTATGTACATCTTACCCTTTGTAGACCCTACTTCATGTTGATTGGATTATCAAAAATGTTGGATGATTGCCCGCATTAAATCATCATTTTCACTTGGCATGGTCATTTGATCGTATCTCTAGTTCTTGCCGCTTGATCTGGTTTGTGTTTATCAGACTCGAAAATTAGTCTTCCTTTCCTGATCACGCCTTTGATTGATCAACCAACATGGTAGAATTGTTGAAACCTGTTATAGACCAACATGTGTTTGTTTATATATAATCAGACACAAGATATGATTTCATCACACACAGTACAGTAGGTCTTGCAAAACCCAAATCGCCACAAAATCAAACCTCTAAAATCATGAAATTATAGCAGTATACTCGGTGTGGAGGTGGAGGTGGCGGCAGTGGTGCTGGTGGCGGACTGGCGGGGCTTTTGAAAGATGGTTCATAGCCCCAATTATAGATATTGAAACCCTGAGGGGTGGCTCAACTTGTAAGACCTTGGGTTTGCTCCCCAGAGTCCCACCGGTTCAAGTCCCTTTAGGGCTAATGGAAGGTTTGAACAACTGTTAACTTCATGACCCAATGGAATTAGTTGAGGTGAGAGCAAGCTGGCCTGGACCCACGGTTTCCAAAGTATAGGTACTGAATCCTTTTTCTATGATGGTTTGGACCACTAAACAGAAGCACAATGAGGCTTTGGTTTCAATTACATGTTTATTTGACATATTTAACAAATAAATAATGAGATAACCTACTTCTTTTATTGATTAGTTTTAGACTTGGATTTAGAATCACGTGAGACCAGCTTGTTTTCGTGAGACCCATGAGACCACCTTTTTACATTTGAGACTTCAGTGTTTTTGCTGTGAAGGTTCGACTTTTTTTAACCTTCACAGTGTTTTTGCTGTGAAGTTTCAAGTGTAAAAATGTGGTCTCACGGGTCTCACGAAAACATGCTAGTCTCATGTGAACCCAACCCTCTAATGTATATATATACATATACATACACATGAATCACATAATACATTCTACTGTCTAGGACAAAGATCATGTCTGCATACATGTTACCACCCCCCAAAAGACTCGGCTCCTATGGTTTGTTATGTACAACCGTATGTCATAAATTTTTAGACTTTCCAAATCCTAGTATCCAATCCTTGCAACATAGGATGCTAGAAACCCTAACTTTATATAAACACTACCAAAAAACGGGCTTAATGCACGAAATAAAAACCTACTTTTATAAATTTTCTTATTATAGCACGTACTTTCATATTATATTTCATCAGGGCATTGTACTTTAAAAAGTTGTTATGACAATGAGTAACCATTTGAAATGAATTACAAGTTACAAGGTTTCCATTCATAATCATCTTTTATCGGTTTAGCGTAGCAACCAAGTTTTCTCTGAAAACAATACATTTATATCAATCTTGAAGTTCGAGATTAAACCATCTACTTCCAGCCATCAGATGTTGACTCTAATTTAGAGACAAGAGTGGTGTCTGATTGGTTTGAGCTCGACTCCAAAGATCAAAAGTACCAGGAGGTCTCAGGTTCAAATCCAAGGAGAAATAAAAATCCCCTTATGACCACGGAGGTTCAAATGCGGTGACTCCGGACTATCTGCAAAGCAGGTGGTCCCCTAGGATTAGTCGGCTCGCATAGCAGGTTAGACATCCAGGTTAATAACAAAAAAGTAATGTCAATTTGAAGTTCAAATTTAGTTTTATCGGTCTCAAATTCAAAATGTACCTCTTTGTTGGGAATGGAAGGAGCATATGTTGCTTACCGCACATCAACTAATCGCCATGGTCCCTTGAACCCTAAACCATAAACCCTTGAAGTTAACAACAAAGCAAACCTCCGGTGGCCCTAACGGGACTCAAACCAGTGAACATCTGTTAAGCTATCCGAAAGGGTTTGTAAATTAGAATTTATCATCAGGGACGAAACCCCTGTGCAGCATTTGATCATGGTACCGAAATGCTTCCTTTAGGTTATCCTGTGAAACATGCCCATTTATCAACGATACGAATGTGGATCTATCGGGATTTAAACCCTTTTCGATCATTTTGTTGTACGTCCTATTAGCTTCATGCATTCGGCCCTGTTTACAAAACCCGTCAAGAATCACGTTATACGTAACAACATCCGGTAACATCCCTTGACTTTCCATCTTGTGGACCAAGTCGAAAGCTTTATCCATATCGTCTTCCATCAAATATCCATGAATAAGCGTATTATACGTAATCCTATCAGGTATAACATCGTTAGCAGCCAGTTTATCAAGAAACTTAGCTGCTTCTCTGGGTGATCCAGACCTGCAATAGCCCTTAACAATGGTGTTACCAGTCAAAATCGTGGGTTCGATGCCTTTTCCAATCATCTCATCCCATATCCGCAACGCCTCTACTACACGACCCATGCTGCAATACCCGTTAATTAGAATGCTGTACGTAATATGATTCGGAATCATACTTTTAGATATCATATCGTTCCACAACTCATTAGCTTTTTCCATATTGCCTTCCTTACAGAAACCATCAATCAACGTGTTGTATGTTACAACATCCGGTTTTTGATTCCTTTGAAGCATCGAGTGGAACAAAGTTAACGCTTTGTTCATGTCTCCTTCTTTGGAATACCCGTTGATAAGTGTCGTGAAAGTGTAAAAATCCGGATATACGCCCCTTTCGACCATCTCGGAGAAAAGTCTGTCTGCTTCAAGAAGCATCTTGTTCTTGCAGAATCCGTTCAAAAGGGTATTGTACGTAACCACATCCAAAACGCATCCCTGATGCAACATTTCATCCCGAATCTTCATCGCCTCTGATATCACACCATGTCTACAAAAGCCGTTGATTAGAATCGTGTAGATAACATTATCCGGTACCAACCCAATGCTTTTCATATCGTTGAAGAAAGCTAGAGCCCGATCAAGATTTCCGTTTCTTGAAAACAACCCGATAAGCGAGCTATAAGTTACAAAATCGGGAACAAGATCGTTCTCCAACATTTCTCCAAAAATGGTTTCGGCTTCCGTAACTTTATGCTTTCGACAACACTCGACCAACAACGTGTTGTAACTAGCAGTATCAGGATTCAGCCCGATACGCACCATCTCTTTCAAAACCTCTTTCGCGTTTTCAAAACTCCCGTTCCTACAAACACCATTTAGAAAAGCATTGTACGTATATAATCCCGGTTCCATCCCTTTACTTCGCATATCGTTCATCATTTCAACAGCTTCATCAAGAAGCCCGACACGAGAATAACCATTGATCAACGTATTATACGTCACAGTATCCGGCAAAACGCCCTTCCGTTCGAATTCCGTTAACAACGCCTTCACTTTCGCAAACTTTCCCTCCTTACAAACCGCATTAACCATGATGTTCATCGTATACACATTAACTCGAATTCCACTCGAAACAATCTCATCATACACCTCAAATGCCAAATCAATCCAACCAGTTTTCACAATCCCACCAAGAACACCATTGCAGCCATTGACATGAACACAAATCCCCCTATTTCTAACCAATCTAAACACCTCCACACCTTCCCTTACCTTCCTAGCTTGCACATAAGTTCGAATCAGTAGATCGAAAACAGCAGGATTAGATCCACATTTCTCATATGTCGATAGTAAAGAATCAACAATCATACCTCGCGAGACGCCACTTTTTCGAACCATTCGAAGCAACAAAGCTTGAGCATCGGATAATCTTCGATTTCTGGTGAGTAGGTGAATCGCTGCACTCAACGAGATCGATGAATGCTTGAATTTGGGATGATTAGAGGCGATTGTATCGAGAAAGGTTTGACCTAATTGTGGATTATGACGACAACGATAGATGACATCGATGAACGAAGATGGGGTTAATTGAAAGAGATGATCGTTGGATGAATTGAGGTTACCCTGTTTTAATCGCATCAAGATCTTGTCGACTAAGAATGTTTGGATGTGTTGTGATTGGTGTGATGTTGAAGGGGTTTGGAAGGGTTTTAGGGCATATGTCGAAATAGGGTTTAGAAGAGAACTGGAAGCAGCCATTGTTGTTGCTGTTGGAGGGAGAAACCCTTGTCTTGCCGCCATTGAGTTCCGGTGGAAGCACATGGTCAATTGGGTGCGGTTTTATCCGATAAATCAGATTTATCAAAAGTCTTAAAAACTATTTTTAATGTATAAAGTATTATGTATTTATACACAAAGTCTTAAAAGTCTTAAAAATAACTCATAATATATTAAGTACTACTATTTTATGCATTTAATTTTAAAATCTCGTAATCTATAACTAAAATAACATATATTACAAGTTACCAATGCACATTATTACATTTTCTTTTCATGTTCCTAAGATATTTTTGACACATTTCACTCATGTCTTCACCATCTCATACCTCTATGTCTTCTCCCCATTCCCCAAAGTGAAATTCAAACTGATATTTACTATGAGTTACTAAAAGTTCTCTCATTCAATTGCTCTACAACTTTTGGTCTCGCTCTCGATCTATGATTCTTTGCTCTTTGTGTAAATTGAACACATTTGTGAAGTCGTTTAAATATGTTGGATTTTAAATATATTGGATTTTAAATTGTCATTTAATTAAGGATATTGTATAAGTTTTTAAAGCTTACAAACTTTAACCACAAAGGTGGTTCCCGATTAGTTTGAGTTTGAGATTCAAAGGTCAAGAGTACCAGAAGGTCTCATGTTTAAATCCAAAGAAGAATAAAAATCCCCTTGTGGTCACGGAGGTTCAAATGCGGTGACTTCAAACTACTCGCAAAGCAGGTGGTCGTCTTTGAATTAGTCGGCTCGCATAACAAGTTGGATATCTAAGTTAATAAAAAAAAACTTACAAACTTTTAGATCTACCATAAAATCAATTTCAAAATTACATTTGCTTATTTTAGGTGTTTTTTGACTTATTTCAGTCTGACACCGGTGATAAGCTAAATGCTAGTGTTTGGATGAGAAAAAATAAAACTGCTTATACCGATGCCAAATCGGTAATAAGCAGTTTTTGATAAGTTAATTATTCCCGACTTATGAAAAACTGTTTATTACTAGTTTAACATTTTAACCATATTTTATTAATGTTTGTTAATTATTAATTTTATTGATATAAATTTTTGTCAAATATATTATTATAAATGATGAAAAATAAATTTTTACATGTTAAAAAATCAAATAAGTTAATAACCAATCACAAACACTCTCATAAGTCAATAATATGAGAGACTGTCCTTTTTGGCCATTTTACATATATAAGCAAAATTTGTCAAACACTAAAAAACAACTTATCAACTTATTGCTTTTTGGTACCGCTATAAGCTAATCCAAACATTTTTTACAAAACTCCGGTTTGATACCATATAAGTTAATTAACACTTTTATAAAAAAAAACATAAGTTGTTTTAAATAAGCAAGCCGAAGCACTTAGCTTACATGTTCCCTGATTTCTCTCCACTCGTCATCATCCACCTTCACCCAACAAGAAACGGGATGGATGATCTCTTTCGAACCCCGCCTACTTCCTGCTACAGCTGGTTTATGCAGACGATGGTTTGTATACTATATAGCAGGTAACTTGCACATCTGGGCTAGCTCTTAACCGTTGGTTTATGCAGACAATGGTTTGTATTCTATAAGAGCGATGCAATGACAGAGCTTTGCAGCGAGGTAAGATCCGACCTCAATACATATGTATGCAGTGAACCAAGTCTAGGAGACCCCAAATGGCGCAACCAAGACAAATCAGTGGTTAATCACTTTGTAATTGATGTTGATTTGTTGTTCATATAAAAGTTGGCAACCAAGAAAACGGAATGTGATCTAACTCCCCGTAATATGTTTGCCATGTTACCCTCTCGACAAAGCCTCTATAAGGATCCTCCTCTCGTTTCGTTAACAGGTAAGCCACACACTTCTCGACATCACATTTTATTTGTACGTATAACTCTTGCAGATAATCTTCATCATCTAACATATTTTCCTTTCCTTTTGTTTGTATAGGTTTTCCGAAGAAATAGTAGAGTCAACCAAACACATATCAGTAAAACTAAACCAAACACATCTCGCATATCCCACTCGGAAGCAGAATCTGGGGATGAGACACCCAAATAGCGGACATATCAAAGCAAACTATAAAACAACAAGCCCTCTAATGCCATCAAATTTGAAATACATGTACCCGTAGCAAGTTTATGTAGATTAAGGGGTCGTTTACCTAAATGCTTACCTGGTAAGCGCTTACCTCAAGAGTCAACACTATAATTTATTTTATCAGGTGAGATTGTAGTACATCAAAACGTATCTTATCCAACAATTTACCTGGTAAGCGCTTACCCGGGTAAGACTCTCCATTCTTATCATCGCTCTTACCGGGTAAGATTCTTGCCCCTTGCCATGTTCATCCGGTAAGGAAATTTGGCCAGTAAGTACTTACTAGGTAAGCGTTTAGTAAACGGCCCCTAAGTTTGATGTCGTGGACACACAAGTTTCAAAATTGAAAATTTTAATAAGTGTCATGCAAAATTAGGACAAGATTTTGTGCATTTGTTACATGGTCTCTTTTTCGTTAACTATTTGAGTCCAAAACGTCAAAACGAATCATCAAAAAAAAAGAAGAACCAAACTCCTAAAACCGTCAAATATTTAAAAATCGGAATCAAAAATTAATTGAAATCAGACATTTTAGGCTCGGTTTTTATTGCACATTCATTTTGGAATAATCATGTCAATCATCCTATAGATTTAATGGTCTTAGAGTATCTCCAACAAATCTATATCTATACTATATTATAAAGCATTTGATAAAAACTTTTAAAAACCATTTTTTTATCCACGAAGTATTGTGTATTAATGCATATTACTTAAAATTTAAGATTACAAGTAATTGTGCGTAAGTACAACTTATTAAAGCTCCATTTTTGAATTCGTATAACTAACTGCTGATAAACAAATTCAAATACAGGATAAACCTCTTATTTTAAATATAAAAAATCTAAAATATAATTAGGATAATCCTTGAATTCTAACATAATCATTATTTTTTTTAAAAAATTGTTGTTAAACCAAAAATAACTTCATTTTGACCTAAATTAAAAAATTGAATTAAAAAATTTGTATAAAAAACGAGAAGTTTTAATTAGTTAATTTGATATTAATATTTATATACCTCTTCAAATTTATTTTTATTCAAAAGTAAAAAAATTATCCTTTTCAAAACCACATAAACTGTATTATATCAACAGAGACGAAAAATAAAACGAAACATTAAAATAAAAATATATCTGATGATATTACGCGAGTATCATTCTAGTTCTTTAAAATGGAGAACATGAGGATTTGGACAAATTCTTTCTTCAAAAGATTCATCATATTTTTCTCTAAAATGACGAATGGAAAATTTCTAAATTTGGAAAACTCTCATAAAGTAATTACCATTGGATAATTAAAATTTTATTATATTTTACCAATAAAAAACATTGAACTTAAATATTTAGTCGAGAGAAATAAATAAACTGTTGGAGTTGAATGCAATTTTTGTAAAGATTTCAAATTTTGATTCTTTATTTTGTAGAATTATGAAGAAACTGTCGAGAATCTCCAACATATTCCCTGTAATTTATCTGAATTAGGCATCTACAACAAATTGTCTAAAATGGAGAGTTTAAGGAATTTTGCTTCAACAGATTCTTCAAAATAGAAAAAAAGTAGGAGAGATGTGATGAAATTCTCCAAATTTGGATAACCCTTCAAAAAATGATTATTTAGGAAAGAAAAACTATTTTTTATTATTTTTACTAATGAGAAATTTTAAAATTAAATGTTTATGAGAGAGAAATAATATTTTATTAATTGTATATAATATTTTAATAATCTATATTATATTATAAAGCACTTGACAAAAACTCTTAAAAACTATTATTTATGTATGAAGTACTATTTATCAATGCATATTACTTAAATTTTAAAATTACAAGTAAACTGTGCGTAGATACAACTTATTAAACCTTCATTTTTGAATTCGTATAACTAACTGATGATAAACATAATCAAATGCAGAATAAACATAATCAAATATAGGATAAATATCTTATTTTAAATAAAAAATCTAAAATATAATTAGGATAATCATTGAGTTCTAACATAATTATTATCTTTATATAAATTATATTATTAAGTCAAAAATAAATTACTTCATTATCAGACCTAAATTAAATTATAATAAAAAGTTAAATTAAAGAAATTGTATTACAAAAAAGAACTTTTAAAAGTAAAAGTAATATCTTTCTCAAAACCACATAAACCGTATTATATTAACAGAGACAAATAATAAAACAAAATACTAACATGAAGATGTATCTCGCTGCATTGCACGAGTATCCTTCTAATATAATTAATATTGTAATCTTCAAAATAGAAAAGCTGTTAGAGATGAAAATAAATTTATTTGCAAATTTGGAATTTTAATTCTCTATTTTAGAGAATCTGTTGAGAATGGTCTTTGAGAACTAAAAGTCAATATATATTCAACTCTGACAAATTTTCTTTTAAAAAATTCTACATCAAATATATTATTACAATTTTCTTTAACTTGATCATCCCAATACATTTTTTAAAAACCTTTATATAAAAAATTAATAAATAAATATCACTGGTTTCATAAAAAAAAATGGAGAACACAATATTAAAGCATCTCCAACAGATTCTCAAAAATGGAGAAGTAAAAAGTCAAAATCTCCAAAAAAAATTACTTTCATCTCCAACAGATTCTCTATTTTGGAGATTACACTATCGAATATATTATTAAAATATTCAATACAACTCATAAAATACTATTTTTTTTTTACTTCTAAACATTTCCTTTCAAGCAATCTCATTGGTTGAATGAATAAAAAATCATTTATCTATACTATATTATAAAACATTTGACAAAAATTCTTAAAAACCATTTTTTTATGCACGAAGTACTGTTTATTGATGCATGTTACTTAAAAT